CAAGGGCCCCCCATTTTTAATCTTGTACTTAACTGGGGATTAGAACTTGCAGAGAAGTTTAAAAATATATCCCGTGGTTTTACTCTTCAGTACAGACAAAGTTCCAGACAACCGGAAAAATGTGTCATTGATCTAGACTATGCTGATGACATCGCAGGAATGGATGACACTGTTGAAGAACTGCAAGAAACTACGGACAATATTGCGAAATACTGTGGGCTCGGGGGTTTAAAGATGAACGCAAAGAAAACAGAGATCATGGTCATTGGGAAAGATACGTCGCAGCACCCACTCCCAGAGAATAGGTGTTATATATTGATATATGATTTTATATTGTTAACTAATCATACTAATAGCCTTTAGGTTTTAGGAAGTGATCGTTTCAATTGTTCATTACTGATAAGCAAAAACAGCAAGTCCCTTATCTTCTTTTTTCTTTTCTAATCATAAATTATTTTTTATTGCGATGGCTTATAGACCATGGTAAATGTATCACAGTAAATTTTAAACGGTTTTTTACTCTTTCTTATCTTATCTGAACCGGTTATAAGCAAAATTGCAGATAACAACAACATAAACCCGGACCGAACTAATTTCAACACAACACAAGCGTAGAATTACTGGAGTAAATTCAGTGTATTTATATTTAAATATTTTAACTATTTAATCAATTATTTAACCAGATTTTGACTGATTTTGGAACTAGGAGTCAAACATAAAACTTAACCCGTTTTCTTGACCCACAGTTCCTGTATAAATCTCTTTAGATCTTTAATTTTATATTGATAATCAGTAATCTATCGTATATCATATAACCAGTAATCTATAGTTATACTTTGCAAATTAAAGATGTGCAAAGAGTCTTGTAGATGTAGATTATGCTCTAAAAAATGTTTAGAACGTAAAGATCCGCTAAAATGCAGCCTTTGTAACGATATTTTTCATCGGAAATGTGCTAATCTTGAACCAAATGACGTAAATCGAATGAAATTAGACAATAGTCTCATAAACTGGTATTGTTTGGCATGTACTACTGACATATTTCCGTTTACTAATACTGATATTACCACTCTAACTAATGAAAATTCGTGTAACACTTACATACCCTGTAGTACAGAAACAAAAGCTAAATCTAAAGTAAGTTTTGCCAGGGTGAGTTGCAAAACTTGTAAAAAGCTAGGAAACAAATCAAAAATGGCGGTTTGCTGGATATGCGACGCTTATTCGCACAATAAATGCTCAGCGGGCGAGTTAGGATGCAAAAGCTGCACACGTGAATTGTTTCCTGGTTTCGAGGTATCACCTAGACAATTATACACCGTACACGGTAATTACGAGAATAGCGCAAAATTTAACCCATACCATAGAAACCATGACTCTAATTATATAGGTAATACTTTTGAAGAAAACAATGACTTAAACTTTAATCCGTGGGATAACTGCTCAGATGTACTAAATAGCTGTAAATACGACGAACCACGGCAAATCAACACGAGTAGGCCTTATGAATTTAAAGTACAATCTCTTAATATTCGATCTTTGAGCAAAGCAATCTCTAATATACGTGATGAAATTGAACAGCACCTAAAATTTGATGTTCTGTGTTTCAACGAAACAAACTGCACGGTTGTAAATATGGCTTTTCAAGGAAAAGAATTAGAGTTAGAAGGCTTTCATCCCCCCTTTATTCAGGCTCCCGCAAGGGACTCTGGTAAGGGCGGTGGTCTAGTAACCTATGTAAACAAGAATCTCTGTGAATTATCTGATGTCACTGCACGATCTGAATTATCTTATAGAGATGATCCAAACGTTGGCGAATTTCAGTTAATAGAGATAGCTCAAAATGGCCACAAAAACATCATACTATGCAATATGTATCGGTCTCCCAGTGGTAATGTCCCCAGTTACTTAGAAAAATTGGAAAACACCCTAAAAGATTTGGCGCGACATAGCAACAAAAACGTATTATTTCTAGGTGATACCAATATTAATCTATTAGAATACGGTGTAAATGACCATACTACTAAATATGTTGATATTTTTGCAGAGTATGGATTCGCACCAACGATATCACGACCAACTCGTATTACTTGTCACAGTGCTACACTTATTGATCACATTTTCGTAAACCAATGCCATGCTATAACAAAGTCAGGCATTATAACTGAATCGCTATCTGATCACCTTGCCACATTTACCGGCATACTTCTCGACACTAATAGAATAGGAAATAAATTGAAAAATGAAACTTGTGAATCATCAAACCGAGTAATAAATGAAGAGAAAATCGCTCGTTTTGAGGAGAAAATAGCGTCTATTGATTGGAATTTTTTACACAACGTTGACGGGACAAATACAAAATTTGAAGCTTTTCACACTAAATATGAAGAAGTCTATAATGAGTGTTTTCCAGTTAAAAAGAAAAAATCAAACCACAGAAAAAACTCTAAACCGTGGATATTAGATTGGCTTCAATGTGCATGCAATCGAAAGAACCAACTATATAAATCCTTTGTTAAAGAGCCTACTGAAAAAAATGAAAAAACTTATAAGCATATGAAAAAGTTTGTTGAAAAACAAGTAGATATTGCGAAAAAGAAGTATTACGCATCATATTTTAAAAAGCATGCGAGCAATAGCAAATTACAATGGCAAATGATTAATCAAATATTAAACAAGAAATCAAAAGAAAAAATAAAAATAAGTAAGATTAACTATAAAAATAGAGTTATAACCGACTCACAAGATATAGCTGACAGTTTTAATGATTATTTTACTAATATAGCTGAGAACCTAAAGAGCGAAAACAATCTGGTTCGCGGTGCAGGATCAGTAGGACATTCTCTTCCCCAATCTAGTCGATGTGATTTTGATATGGAGCTGGAGGACTCCTCGCCCTCCGAAATTGCTGAAATCATACATGATCTTAAGAACAAATCGACTTCAGATATGAATATACAGCCTCTTAAAAAGGTTTGCAATGTGCTGTCTCCAGTAGTTAATCACCTGATCTCACACTCCCTTCACGAAGGAGTATTCCCCGAAAAGCTCAAACTTGCTAAGGTTATCCCACTCCATAAAGGAGGATCGCGCAGCGAAATTACAAACTACAGACCAATCTCACTTTTGTCCTGCTTCTCAAAGATATTCGAAAAAATAATGCATGCACGTTTAGTAAAGCACCTAAAATCACGTAATATTCTATATGCGTCGCAATTTGGTTTTAGATCGGGTCACAGTTGTGAACATGCGTTGCTTGAAGCTCAGTTTAACTTACATAAAGCTCTAGAAAGGAAGCAAGTGTCAGCATTACTGCTTCTTGACTTCTCCAAGGCGTTTGACCTAGTAGACAGTGAGATACTGCTACATAAGCTGGAGCACTATGGTGTAAGAGGCCTTAGCTTATCCTGGTTTGAGTCTTATCTAACTAACCGGAAACAGTATGTTCACGTCAACGGTTGCAGTTCAGAAAAAATGGGATTGGAACATGGAGTTCCTCAAGGGTCCATTCTTGGTCCTATATTGTTCATTATTTACATAAACGACCTTGCAAATTTAAGCGATATAGCCCATTATATTTTCTTCGCTGATGATGCAAACATCATCGTTTCTGCCGACACGTACACTGAACTGAACATGCGTGCAAACAGAGTTTTAAATACTGTACTGACATGGGTTAAAAACAACGGTCTTAAACTTAATGTAGGAAAAACTAAATACATGATATTCACTAACAGATTACCAGAGGATATAAATATTAGTATAGAAGGACAGCGACTAGTGAAAAGTGAACATGAACGATTTTTAGGTGTCATTATTGACTCAAAACTTAGCTGGAGCCAGCACATTAAACAGTTAAAGACTAAAATATCCAGAAATGCAGGCGTAATGATGAAACTTAAAAGTTCCATTCCGAATAAAGCTCAAAAAATGCTATACAATAGTTTAATTCAATCTCACCTGTATTACTGCGCTACTGTTTGGGGTACTAAATCTTTAAATTCCATTCAGTCTTTATTCTCTGCTCAAAAGAAAGCTATTCGCGCCACTGATTCAGAATATCATAACTATTTTTACGACAAAGAAAAACGTAAACTACCATCTCACACAAAATCCATCTTCAACAAAATAGGAATTTTAGCTCTTCCTAATCTCATTGCTAAAAGCTGTCTAACTTTGATGCACAAGGTTTATATGGGAGTAGCACCATCGAGTATCTGTAGTATATTTGAAAAATCACCGCTTAGACAAACGGAAAGGAGAAATCCAAAGTATTTTGAAATTAAGTTCAACAGATTACGGATCACCGATTATAGCATCTCTAACGTAGGACCACGATTATATAACAACACGATAAACGAAATAAATAAAATCCTTCCCTTCAACGTACCTAAGTTACAAGATAAGTTTATTAATTCATACAAGGACAACATTGTACGTTACTTACAGGACAAACAAAAACTTGACCTAGAAAACCTTTCGTGGACGGACAAGAACTTTGTCCTTTACAACTTTTAAACAAAATATTAGCAAAATATAACAGCTGTAAGAATCCTAAACGTTAGTGCAGTCAAATAAATGAACTGCGATAATGCATTTGACAGTCAGTCACTGCAATTTATTCTGCAACTTATTTTTCAATTTTCACTGCCACACTTAGGCTTATCTTGCCTACACATTTTTTAAAAACGAAATTCCTTGCGCACCGCGTACTAAAATTACTTGGATTTCTACCGCTTTGATAAATGACTACAAGAAGATGGGGAGTTAATATTGTTGATTTATATAATATAGATTATTTATTCTTTAGTGTAGATTAACTTAATTTTTATATATTTTACCAAGTGTGAAGGATCAACCATACGTTATTGATATTTTTGAAATATTTAACGATAAATTGATATAATAATAAATGATTGTAATATTTTATTGAGGCACATGCCACCCCATTGCGGGTTTACTACTACTACTACTACTACTAAGAACCCCGGAACACAACAATGGCGACAGTGATGAGATATCAGTTTATTGAACCACTCTCCACGACAGATGTCACAGATGTAAGAACTAGAAGTTGGTTTGAACAATTTGAGGTTTTTCTAGAGGTCGGGGAACTGGTGGAAGACCCGACAATCCCAGAAATCCCGGAGGAGAACGACAGAGCTCAGGACGAAACTGATAGACTTACTAGAGAAAGGGAAGTCCGGATAGAGGAATTGAAAGAGCTCCAAAGAACCAAGCTACTCATCGTCAACATGGACTCAAGTATGTTTAAAAAAGCCACAAACTTGTGTAAACCAGCGAAGCTAGTGGAAGAGAGATACAGTAAGTTGAAGCAGAGACTATGCGAACATTTCGCACCCAGGCCAACCAAATTCGCTTCAAGATATCACTTCACACAGATCAGACAAAAGGAGAATGAAAAGAGCACTAGCTATATGGAGAGACTGCTAGTATGTGCAACTGATTGCGAGTTTCAGGATCTAGATTCCAGATTGTTAGACCAATTTGTAGCAGGACTAAGAGAAGAGAGAGAGAAAGCCAAACTGCTAAAGAAGACCAATCTGACCCTAGAAATCGCAAGAGAGCACATGTTGTCACTGGAGAAGACCAAATTGGAGGCTCAAGAAATGAACGCATCAAGCAGTGGAACAGTAAACAGTGTCAAGTATAGGAAGAAAGAGAGATCCCACAGGACTGACAAGAAAACAGTGGTCACATGTAAGAAATGTACACTGAAGGGACATTCAGAGAAACAATGTTTCACGAAATGTCATGCCTGTAAGAAAGTGGGACACATCAGTAAGAACTGTCAACACGCAAAGAGAAAGAAGAAGAGAAAGAAAGACGTCAAAACTTATCATGTGGAGGCTTGTTCAGATAGTGAAAGTTCAGAAGAGAGTAATTCAGAGCTTGAGAGCGAGAGTGAGGAGTCAAGTGAGGAAATTTTATTTGTGGAGGAGGTGTTAGAGTATTCACTAGTAGATAACTCAGAGAGTGAGTTAGGTGAATTGGACACAAGTTTAGTGTGTCAGTCCTCTGTTTATCATGATGTTGATTTTGAAAATGAAATTTCTGACCTAGATTGTACCATGCTCAAGTTTTCTGAGAGCAATGTTGAAATTCATAATGATTTTTATGATGACAATGAACTGACAGTTAACTACACGAACATTTCTAAACCACTCGTTCAGGTTAAATTGAATGGAGTTAATCTACAGATGGAGTTCGACAGTGGATCCACGGTAAGTATAGTTAGTTGTGATGTTTTTTCTAAGTTAGGGTTAGGCAAGACCCTGCGTGCTGCTAACAAGACCCTGCGTGTTGCTAACAACGAGAGACTGTCTGTCAAAGGTAAAAGTCTGGTAGACGTTGAGTTCAACGGAAGACTGATACAGGGATTAGAGCTGTATATAATAGATGGCAAGTGCCCGTCGCTCATGGGGCAGTCATGGATAACAGAGTTTTTAGGACCAGACTGGCTGACAAAGATTCTTAATCTTCAGAAGGACAAAGAGACTGTTGATGCAAATGTGTGTAGTACTAGTAGTGTGGATGAAGAACTTGTCACTGCAGTATCAGACAGAGACATGGAAGTATTTAAACTCAGAACGATTAGTAAACTCAAGGAAAGTCCAATCTTTCAGCAAGGTTTAGGACTTATCTCAGGAGCTGAAGCAAAGCTGATTCTCAAGGAAGGAGCACAGCCTAAATCACTTGGAGTGAGACCGTTACCCTATGCTAAGAAGAAGCAAGTCGGGGACGAGTTACAGAGAATGATCAACGAAGGGATTTTGAGCAAAGTTGAGGGAGCAAGTCCTTGGGGAACACCCGTAGTTCCAGTGTTTAAAGGAGAGAAGACAAGGATTTGTGGATCATACAATCTCACGTTGAATCCAGGGATGGCAGCTCAGCAATACCCGTTACCTTCAATAGAAGAGTGCTTTAACAAGGTAACAGGGGGTAAGAAGTTTACTAAGCTGGATGTTCGACAAGCTTACAACAACATTCCGATCAGAAAGGAAGACAGGATTTTAACGACAATCAACACCCATCTAGGACAGTTGATGTGGAACCGGTTACCGTATGGTATCGCACCCGCTGCTGCGATTTTTCAGGAGACCATTGACCAAACTCTAGCCGGGATTCAAATGTGTTGTTGTAGAGTCGACGATATTCTCATATCAGGAAAAGACGATGAAGAACACATGACCATTTTGAACGAGGTCATAACGAGATTAGAAAATCAAGGATACAGATGTAAACCGGAGAAATCCCAGTTCATGGAAGACGAAGTGACGTACCTAGGTCACACTGTGAACAAAGACGGAATAAAGCCTGTAAAATCCAAAGTGGAAGATTTACTGAAGATGAAAGTACCAAAGTCGGTGGACGAACTTGTATCATTTCTTGGAGGAGTGAACTACTACAGAAGGTACATTGCAAACATGTCTCAGATTATTTCACCCTTAGACGAACTCAGGAAGAAAGGAGTCAAATGGAAATGGGGCAAGGAACAACAGAAATCTTGGGAGAAACTGAGAAACATGTTAAGTTCGGAGACAGTTCTGACTTTGTACAATCCTAATCTACCGCTAAAGCTAGATACAGACGCATCATCACATGGATTAGGCGCTGTTTTGTCGCATGTAATGCCTGACGGAACTGAAAGACCTGTTGAGTACATCTCACGCACCTTGACATCTGCAGAAAAGAACTACTCACAGATCGACAAGGAAGCTACAGCAATTGTCTGGGGAGTCAAGCGTTTTCACCTCTACCTGTACGGGAGGAAGTTTAAGCTAGTCACTGATAACCAACCGCTAGTCCACATATTCAATAAGAACAAACAGTTATCGGTCATGACAGCAGCAAGACTAACCAGATGGTCGATATTCCTTATGGATTACGATTACGAAATAGCATATCGTTCGACCAAAGCCCATGGTAATGCAGACATGCTATCAAGATTACCAGTTCCACACACTAAACAGGACGAAGAAGAAGCTAAGGAAGAGCTAGTCTTCAGTGTGGACATTGAAGATACCTGTTTAACTGCTAAGAAGATCGAGAGTTACACCAAAAAAGACCCGATTTTGTCAAAAGCGTTACACTACATCATGAATGGATGGCCGGACAAAGGCATACAATTCAGTGAAGAGATGACAGCTTACTGGAACAGAAGAAGTGAATTATCTGTGGAGCTAGGATGTATAACGTGGGGTTGCAGAGTCATTATTCCCAGCAAACTACGATCGACAGTGTTGGAGAATCTACATGTCACACACCTTGGGATGAGTGGAATGAAGACTCTGGCTCGTTCTTACGTGTACTGGCCACGGATTAACTCAGAGATTGAACAGTTAGCCAGCACATGTAAAAGTTGTGGTAAACATGGGAAGAGTTTACCAAGTCTCACTGAACATCCGTGGACCAAACCCACTATGCCTTGGCAGCGCGTACATATTGACTACGCAGGCCCATTCTTCAACAAAATGTGGTTAGTTGTCTATGATGCTTACACAAGATGGCCAGAAGTGATAAAGATGAACAAAGACACCACTTCAGCAGCTACTATCAGAGCACTACGAGAGATATTTAGTAGAAACGGACTGCCATTCGTCATAGTAAGCGACAATGGAACCAACTTTACCTCTGACGAGTTTGAAAAGTTCTTATCATCTAACAACATCAGACACTTGAAGACAGGAACATATCACCCGAAAAGTAACGGTTGTTGTGAACGGTTTGTAGGAACTTTCAAATCTGCTATGAAAAAGATGAACGAAGATTGTAAAGATATTCACAAGAATTTAGCGAACTTCTTGATCCGGTACAGAAACACGCCACACAGTGTAACAGGTACACCACCAGCAGAGGCGATGTTTAAAAGATCGCTCAGATCCAGACTTCATCAGATTACCCCACTGGATCAGCAGAAAGTTGACAGCATGGATATCGAGAAGGAGCAAGCAGTTCTTGATTCTAGCAGAATTCGAAACAGACAGTTTGAAGAACAACAAGACGTGTATGTTCAACCTACAGCTAAAGACACATGGAAAGAAGGTGTTATTGAAAAAAGACTGGGCAATTCCAATATGTATGAAGTACAGTTTGGTGGGAGAAAAGTTGTAAAACACGCAGATCAGATTAAGAAGAGACTGAGACCAATGTTACAGCGAAAGAAACCAACTTTGTATAGTCCCCCAGGTAATCTAGAAACTAGCAATAGTCATGTCCAGTTGAATGTTTCACCATCGCACAATTCACCAGTACGTGGTCCGTTAGAGTTAGAGAATGTTTCACCAGCACGTGTTCCATCAGTGAGTGTTTCACAATCACAACCACCTACACCTATTCAAGCCACTGTAACACGACCCACTACTTCTAACGTGACTACACAGTCTACACGATTGACAACTACTAAAACTAACAACACACCCAACACGGGATCTGCACCAGTATCACTTCGCAGATCTGACAGACTGGCTAACAAACCAAGACGTTGTTGGAATTAATTAATTTATTACAGATTGTTTTTACTCATTTTATACGACAGCTTATTTTGTTTTATGTGTAAAGGCACTACGTGCAGTGTATTGTAATATCGAACGAAGATGTTTATTTTGATACCCGATAGATGAAGGACATTTTAACATTTGATTTCTAACATGAAACGGCAGTTTAAATCGGAAAGCAACTTGTCACGAGACTTTTATTTTAACTGGCATACGGCAGATTTTAACATTCGTCGAAAGAGAGAGAATGTGAAGTTGGATTTTATGTATTTTATGTAAAACGCGGACGTCGTTATATTATAGAGAATTTGTTGTTTTCAGTCACGCGCATTAAGCGCGCGCAATTTAATTTAATTCTGTAAAACGTGGTCCGAGCTGAGACGAATCTTAATGTTTTCGATACGCAAACGATTTGAACATTGAACAAGGAGGAATGTTATATATTGATATATGATTTTATATTGTTAACTAATCATACTAATAGCCTTTAGGTTTTAGGAAGTGATCGTTTCAATTGTTCATTACTGATAAGAACCCCGGAACACAACAATAGGACCATAGATATAACTGTCGATGGAAACTCTGCAAAGCAGGTCACTCAATTCACTTATTTGGGTGCCAAAATTACATCAGATGGCAAGATTGATAAAGAAATAAGTGTCAGGATTGGAAAAGCAACTGGAGCTTTTAACCAACTCAACAACATTTGGAAGAATAAGAACATAAGCATTAACAACAAAGTGCGAATCTACATCGCAGCTGTTCTTACCATTCTTACCTATGGATGTGAGATACATGGAACACGACTCAAGTGCAGACAAGAAGATTGGAGTCTTTCCATCAGTACTGCTTAAGAAGAATCCTGAGAGTGAGGTGGTTCCATCGAGTAAGTAATGAGGATGTTTTAAGAAGGGCATCAATAACTGCTCTTGCTACTAAATAGGCTTTGTTTTATGTGTAAAGGCACTACGTGCAGTGTATTGTAATATCGAACGAAGATGTTTATTTTGATACCCGATAGATGAAGGACATTTTAACATTTGATTTCTAACATGAAACGGCAGTTTAAATCGGAAAGCAACTTGTCACGAGACTTTTATTTTAACTGGCATACGGCAGATTTTAACATTCGTCGAAAGAGAGAGAATGTGAAGTTGGATTTTATGTATTTTATGTAAAACGCGGACGTCGTTATATTATAGAGAATTTGTTGTTTTCAGTCACGCGCATTAAGCGCGCGCAATTTAATTTAATTCTGTAAAACGTGGTCCGAGCTGAGACGAATCTTAATGTTTTCGATACGCAAACGATTTGAACATTGAACAAGGAGGAATGTTATATATTGATATATGATTTTATATTGTTAACTAATCATACTAATAGCCTTTAGGTTTTAGGAAGTGATCGTTTCAATTGTTCATTACTGATAAGAACCCCGGAACACAACAATAGGACCATAGATATAACTGTCGATGGAAACTCTGCAAAGCAGGTCACTCAATTCACTTATTTGGGTGCCAAAATTACATCAGATGGCAAGATTGATAAAGAAATAAGTGTCAGGATTGGAAAAGCAACTGGAGCTTTTAACCAACTCAACAACATTTGGAAGAATAAGAACATAAGCATTAACAACAAAGTGCGAATCTACATCGCAGCTGTTCTTACCATTCTTACCTATGGATGTGAGATACATGGAACACGACTCAAGTGCAGACAAGAAGATTGGAGTCTTTCCATCAGTACTGCTTAAGAAGAATCCTGAGAGTGAGGTGGTTCCATCGAGTAAGTAATGAGGATGTTTTAAGAAGGGCATCAATAACTGCTCTTGCTGACATAATAACAACAAAACGGCTGCGTTGGTTTGGACATGTCAGTAGAATGCCAGAAGATCGATTACCCAACTATTTACTTGAATGGAAACCCAAGCATGGGAAGAGATCAAGAGGCAGGCCTAGGAAGAGCTTAAATGATGTATTTATTGAGGATGCTGAGCAGAGATTGGATCGGAATGGACTCACGATTGATTGTATGAAAAGATTAGCTGCAGACCGAAAGGAATGGAGAAATTTTACCCGCCGAAGTTGTATAATACAAAGTAATGACGCAGTCGACGCAGACTAATCCTTTTGGATGGAGATCTCGCCATGTAACATGTATGTATGATGAGAGTTGTGAAAAATTTAACCCTTTACAAGATTTCTCCAACTTATAAAGGGAATATACTGAGAAGTTAAAGTTAAAGTATTATAAGTGTATTCACTGAAATTGTGTTTATCAGGACTCAGTTGATCAGCGAATCGGGCGAAGTTTTATTTGAGTTTACTGACCGAGTTTAATGACCGAAATTATTGGAACCTCACCCTTTCCTGCTACTCCATTCGTAGCCAAATAATCCATGACATAACAGTACATAACAGTACATAACAGTACATAACAGTACATAACAGTACATAACAGTACATAACAGTACATAACAGTACATAACAGTACATAACAGTACATAACAGTACATAACAGTACATAACAGTACATAACAGTACATAACAGTACATAACAGTACATAACAGTACATAACAGTACATAACAGTACATAACAGTACATAACAGTACATAACAGTACATAACAGTACATAACAGTACATAACAGTACATAACAGTACATAACAGTACATAACAGTACATAACAGTACATAACAGTACATAACAGTACATAACAGTACATAACAGTACATAACAGTACATAACAGTACATAACAGTACATAACAGTACATAACAGTACATAACAGTACATAACAGTACATAACAGTACATAACAGTACATAACAGTACTACCAATGCCATGAACACTAATCAAACATACATCCGAAATTAATCAATTATAAATTTATTAATGAACAAACGCAAACAATAATAACAAAACATAATTACAAATGTAAACGAATTGTCTTGGCATCGCAACATTGAACTATTTAAATGCTTGCAGGCTTGCCAGTATAATTGCGCTTATAACAAGCACATTTGTTATATTCATAATCTAGCACTTTCCACGACTGCACTTTTCCAGAGCAAGCTGCTAAATATATCCAGCGGTGTTACAATGTTTTATTGCCGATATATACTCGTTTAGTAATCGGAGGTGTGTTGCGTTTATTCCTTTTGAATTCACTATTTGGAGGGATCTTTGAAAGTTTTGTCAACATTTTGTCAACATTTTGTCAACATTTTGTCAACATTTTGTCAACATTTTGTCAACATTTTGTCAACATTTTGTCAACATTTTTGTAACTCAGTCATACACCTGCCAAAACATTATCCGTGTCGTTTATATTTTATGGAGTGTCGAAATGCTTGATGTACATTTTACAGTGTATATTTCATTTAGCGCTCATTTCATTGTATGCGTTAATCTCTACCACTTATACCATGACTCATGGTAGTGGTAGTTGCACTTCTGCAGGTAGTGGTAGTTGCACCACCCGCTTAGGATTTATTAATATAGCAGGAACCCGTTTAACCTTTTATAAAGGACCAGTTAACTGAAAAATTTGTAGTCTCCAATTTGGCTAAGATTTAAATCAGCTGTGACAAACTGGTAAAAAATTGTATCGCCGAAAGAACCAACTCTCTAGCTTACGTGTAACGCGTGTTATTGCAATAATAAGCTGTGGCCGCGTGACGTCATAAAGTCCCTCGCAGTGCGCGCTGGCATAGCGTAATACAATGCACAAATGTTTATCATCGTCAATAAAACACGTGTAACTCACTCAAATTTTAGAGTTATGACTATTTCCCTAGTTCTCCAAAATCCTTATAGTTTTGGCTATCACCCTAACTATATGAATAGCTGATTGGATGTACAGTGCTCACGTCAGGATTTTAAACAGTGACATAAGTTCTTGAACAGTGGCTGGTGAATGTACGGTTAGAAAGTTTCTGCTATTACAAGTTATGTCGTATGAGATAATTTTTGATTGTTTTCATTGCTTCATTAAAACGAAGGGAGACTGTACCGATTATTTTTCCCCAGTCCATGAAACTAATACACAAAATAATGTGCTATATATTAAATATAGCTGATCAGAGTGTAACTCTGTAATATAATATTACAGTTGTTCGGAAGAATGCGAGCAGTCGAATGGTTCGCTGTCCTAAAAGACATAGTTCCGAGAGCAATTATATTTTTAGCATAGCGAAATTTCTTACTTTAATCCACACGTGCCAGACAGTACAGGAGACAAGAAGTCTGGCTATTTTACGGCCGTTCTCATGGGACCATTAGTAGAAGTAGCTCCTATCAGAACGGTGCCGTGGGAACTGAAAAATACCCGGTCTACTAAATACTGATTGGAGTGTAGTTGTACAGTGTGCGGAGTGTTTTGAATTTGACTTACCTAGTTATCGTCCTACTTGTATGATCATCGGTACTTACCATAAATAAACTACAGGTAAATTTAAATACCAAGTGCAAACGTGTTCAGTCAATCGACCCACTGAACAACTATAGATTTTCCAAGACCCTATTATTCTTTGACCCTATTATTCTTTGGCCATATGTCATATGTATGTATTACGCCATATGTATGTATTACGGCACGATCGATTCTTAGATGGCTAAACGACAAACTTTAATCTATACAATTCTTAAACTATGAGATAGCACTTTAATCTAAAAATACACTTTTTATATTACTCCTGATTTTTACATTTCAATTTTCACGTAAAACATTGTAGCCATAGGTTGATCATGGACACTGACAGCTTAATTTTAGATAATAATGATTTATGAGTTTCTCTAAAGTTAACTCTAAACTTGTGTAGTCCAGTCATTTATGGACATTTATGGAATTGAACCTGCAAATTTTCGTATACTCACGAAATTTTGCAAAGACCTTCCCAAAAGTATGAATAAACGATTTTCGGTTGGAGACATATTGACCACGCCGATATTGACCCAATAACGTAACCGACCTTTTGCTTCTGAAGGTCGTAGAGACTTCTAAATAGGCTGAAACGAAGCGGCATATGCATGTTTATATAGAAGTTACTGAGCAACACATGGCCTAAAATCCTTACTTTTCGAGAAATTTGCCAAAAACCATTTTGGGCGTGGTGCTGAGCCCATTTTCGATAGGATCGTGATAGAGTCTTAAGACAGGGTGCAAAAGAACCGCAATTAGCATATTTATATATGACTTACGAAGAAACAGATGCCTTAAAGTGCTTACTTTTTCAGTTATTGGCGAAAAACTGATTTCCGGTTCCAGAAATCATGCAAAAATATGGGTATCTTGTAAATTGGGCTATGAAGGCCCTACAGATTTTTGAATGGGTGCAAATTGTGCAGAATGGCCATGTTTATATACAACTTATGAAGCAACATGTACCCTAAAACACTTACTTTTCGAGTTATTTGGGGGAGAACCATTGTATTATGTCCATTTTTACCTGTAAAATACAGTCTCACGAGCTCTTCTGTGCGCGCAAGGGACTTTATGAC